CGTGTTAGCCAGGATGGTCTCGATCGCCTGACCTCGTGATCCGCCCGTCTCGGCCTCCCAAAGTGCTGGGATTACAGGCTTGAGCCACCGTGCCCGGCCTAAAAGTACATTTTTTAAATGGCCATAAATTAGGGGCATAGGAAATATATGACGTTCATAATGAAGCCATGCTAATTTACATTTTGCCTCTCAAGCGTCACATAACTGACAGAGCTAAACAACTTAAAATCGCAGTCCTGTCTCTAAGTTGGGGAGGGTGAGACATTTGTCTGTAAGGGGAAATGGAAAGACAAGGACAAACAATGGTTAGGTAAGGCCTCTTGGAGCACCAGTGGTAACTGCCCAGGGCATGAATCTTCCTTCTTTTGGGAAGTCTAGAACCCCTATGGGCAATGAGGAATGGGTTATACAATTCAAATTTAGGATAAGCCTAACTTCTCTTTGAAGAAGAGTCAAATTGGCAAATTTAGGAAAGAATCTACAGCATGAGATCCTAAGTGAATTATAGTTTACACATATTATTAAAAAAATACAGAATATACACAGTATAATCTTTTTTCGAGACAGAGTTTTTTTTTTGTTTTGTTTTTTGTTGTTTTGAGACGGAGTCTCATTCTGTCGCCAGGCTAGAGTGCAGTAGCACAATCTTGACTCACTGGAACCTCCGACTCCCTGGTTCAAGTGATTCTCCTGCCTCAGCCTCTTGAGTAGCTGGGGTTACAGGCACGCGCCACCATGCCTGGCTAACTTTTGTATTTTTAGTAGAGATGGGGTTTCACCATGTTAGCCAGGATGATCTTGATCTCCTGACCTCACGATTTGCCTGCCTCGGCCTCCCAGAGTGCTGGGATTACAGGAATAAGCCACTGCGTCCGGCCAAGACAGAATTTTGCTCTTGTTGCCCAGGCTGCTATGCAATGGCATGATCTCGGCTCACCACAACCTCCGCCTCCCAGGTTCACGTGATTCTCCTGCCTCAGCCTCCTGAGTAGTTGGGATTATAGGCATGCACTACCACACCCAGCTAATTTTGTATTGTTAGTAGAGATGGGGTTTCTCCATGTTGGTCAGACTGGTCTTGAACTCCTGACCTCAGGTGATCCGCCCACCTCTGCCTCCGAAAGTGCTGGGATTACAGGCATGAGCCACCGCACCCTGCTCAGTATAATCTTTTTATAAAAATAATAAAAAACCCATATACCCATGTGTATATGCACATACACGCCTTAAAAACAGTCTAGGCCGGCCGCGGTGGCTCAAGCCTGTAATCCCAGCACTTTGGGAGGCCGAGATGGGCGGATCACGAGGTCAGGAGATCGAGACCATCCTGGCTAACACGGTGAAACTCCGTCTGTACTAAAAAAATACAAAAAACTAGCCGGGCGAGATGGCGGGCGCCTGTAGTCCCAGCTACTCGGGAGGCTGAGGCAGGAGAATGGCGTGAACCCAGGAGGCGGAGCTTGCAGTGAGCTGAGATCCGGCCACTGCACTCCAGCCTGGGCGACAGAGCAAGACTCCGTTTCAAAAACAAAACAAAACAAAAAAAAAAAACAGTCTAACCGGCCGGGCTTGGTGGCTCAAGCCTGTAATCCCAGCACTTTGGGAGGCCGAGACGGGCAGATCACGAGGTCAGGAGATCGAGACCATCCTGGCTAACACGGTGAAACCCCATCTCTACTAAAAAATACAAAAAAACTAGCCGGGCGAGGTGGCGAGCGCCTGTAGTCCCAGCTACTCGGGAGGGTGAGGCAGAAGAATGGCGTAAACCCAGGAGGCGGAGCTTGCAGTGAGCTGAGATCTGGCCACTGCACTCCAGCCTGGGCGACAGAGCGAGACTCCGTCTCAAAAAAAAACAAAAAACAAAAAACAAAAAAACAGTCTAACCAGGAGTGATGGAGCATACCTGCAGTCCAGCTACTCAGGAGGCTGAGGCAGGAGGATTGCTTAAGCCCAAGAGTTTGAGGCTGCAGTCCCCTCTAATCATGTCCGTGAATAGCTACTGCACTCCAGCCTAGGCAACACAGTAAGACCCCATTTCTAAAAACAAAAAAGGCGTAGAAGGATATATGCCAAATTAATAATCATTACCCCTGAGAAGTGGAAAGATGGAAAACTTTTTTCTTTTATATTTCTGTGTTGATATTTTAAATACTACTTTTGTAATAAAAACTTTTTTAATTCATAATTTTCAAACTTTTTGTGGTCATGAAAAATTTTCAAATATTTTTCTATGAGGAGATTTTAACTTCAAGGCATTTTTGATAAACATGCCTTGTCCCATCTGTCTGGGCAGTTAAGTACAGTCTTGCCTGGATACAGGGACAGACCTCATAATCCTTCAAGGTCACTTCAATCTCTGGATTTCTGATAAAGTATAGGTAAGCAATTAATCAGAAATGCAGGGTTTTTTCCTGACACCCAGCAGGCTGTTGGTGTTGTTGGACAAATTCCCCAAAATGAGGTGTTCTTGGAAAATGGCTTTCCCAGAACTCCTTGACTACTGTTTTCTTTACCGAAAGACAGACAGATACACACACTCTCTCTCTCTCTGAATGTGTTCAACCAACCTGAACCCTGGCAGCTCAGCTTCAGCCAAGGAGGCAAGGGAAGCCCTGAGGCAGCTACGTTCTGCACGACTGCCACTTACAGTCTGGGCTTCAGACTTGGGAGAACACATGCCAGAGAAAGAAAAGATCTGCTGTGATTAAATCACAGATGCTGGGGGTGAGTGCGGGGTGGAAGGGTCTGGCACCCATGCCACCTGCTACATGCAAGAGCTCAGTTACGTTCAGTACTCAGTCAAGGGACAGGGAGTTGGGAAGAGCAGTGCCATTATAACCTTTGGTTACCTGGGAGAGCCTGGAGAGCTGTGGTTTTCCTAAAGTGGTTAAGTTCTCCTTTGGAAAGTCACCATTCCCTATTCTATGATCCTCACTAGGAACAACTGCATTTGCTCATCCAGGCTTTCACATTTTAATCTGGTTCTGAAGCTACACAGCGGTGGCAGACAAATGACTTGGGAATCAGATACCCTCATCTAATCCTGGAACAAGCTGTCTGAGTGACTTCTACCCCCACGAGGCCCAAAGAAAAACATAATGAAATGAAACCACTTGCTCCTATGAAACAAATGTGGGAATATTTATGCAGCTGTTTTTATTTATTCAACTATAAAGATTGATTGCAGCAATTTTTTGATGAGTAATGCCTTAGATTAACACTAATTATATTGCTATAAATTTGGTTCAGGATCAGAATAGGGTTCAGGAAAGGGAGAGAACAAAAAAAAGTCTCCAAACATTCAAACAGAAAAAAAGTTTGTTTTTTTGGGGGGGACTGAGTCTCGCTCTGTTACCCAAGCTGGAGTGCAGTGGCACAATCTTGGCTCACTGCAGCCTCCGCCTCCTGGGTTCAAGCGATTCTCCTGCCTCAGCCTCCTGAGTAGCTGGGATTACAGGCGCACGCCACCATGCCCAGGTAATTTTTGTATTTTTATTAGAGACGGGGTTTCACCATGTTGGCCAGGCTGGTCTTGAACTCCTGACCTAGTGATCCACTCACCTTGGCCTCCCAAAGTGTTGGGATTACAGGCGTGAGCCACCGCACCCAATCTTTTTTTTTTTTTTTTTTTTTAACTTTAATTAAATGCTATTTTCCCATAGACTTCCCTAGACTGGTTTGCAATCTAAGGTAATAGGAAACAAGGCATTAGGCATTTTGAAGAAACTGCAGGTTAAGCTATGGTGCCAAGCAGAAGACTAAACACTGATTTGAGTGTCAAATCTCAGGCACGTTCTGGGATAGAGGCAGGTTCTCAAATGTTTCCTAGTGTTCTTTCCTTTTCACTAATTAAATTTTCCCTTCTCTGGCAAATCCAGTGCAGCATATGATCCCCTCATTGCCTCTCTTGGTCAAATGGTTGAAGGGAACCTGTCAGGCACCTGTGGCTTCTGCTTAGATTGGAAAGGTGACAGACTAGCTCTGATTCACCTCCTCCTGAGACAGCCTGGACAGTGGAGGGGTCAACTGGAAGGCCGAAACCTCGTAACAGCTGCCTCTGATTCCTGGTGGAAATGACCAACCAGATTCAATCCATATCACTGGGAAAGATCAAGGAAAAAAAATAGCTTCCCCTCCAAAAATGGTAAAGAGGAAATAAGGAGACAAGAAACCAACAATATTTAGAATGGCACAAAAAGCAATACGCATAAACTTCTTTTTGTTATTAAATCTAAGTTTCCTAAAGTCCAGTTATCAAGTTGAACTGTGTGGAGAGAGGAGAGAGGCCAACTGGAATTTCTCTCAAGAGTTCACGGCTTCAGTCTGAGAGGTCCTGGGTTTGCGCTGGGGGAGCCCCTTTTTGAATGAAGGCATGGGAGGGCTTGGCTCCATGCTGACTCCAGTTCCTTTGGTCCCTGCAGAGTGAGTTTGGCCTCTTTCACTGGTGTTTCCTGGTGCCTGAGATGGAGCACTCTGATACCTGGAACCAGATGAAGACCACGAGCTGTTTCTGTAACGACCCATACTGTCATGCCGCCCTTGGTTCATGGGGTCATTGGACTTTTGGCCTTGTGGCCTGTAGCCTTGTCCTCGTCTGTTCCCTGGCAATACCTAAAGATAAAAGCATACAATGTTCAAGGTGCTCTAGCATTATGGTACCCCATTCGTTCACTTTACAAGAGTATTCTGAAAGCAGAATTGTGGTATTCCATGCTTGGGACTCAGTTTATCTCTCAAGACTCAAAGAATTCTGTCAGCCGATCCAACCTAGCCACTACTTCAGAACTAATCCATCTTTCCCTGCTCTTCATGCCTAGGCTCTTCTCCACTGAAGAATTTACTTTTCTTTAGCTGGATACAAGAAGAAAGATAAGGAAGAAAGAACATTCTGTGGGTTGTTACAAGTCCTCAACTGGACAAGTATATTATATTATGTCTGAACTCTTCAGATAAAAGGCCATTGGTAGGCCGGGCGCAGTGGCTCAAGCCTGTAATCCCAGCACTTTGGGAGGCCGAGACGGGTGGATCACAAGGTCAGGAGATCGAGACCATCCTGGCTAACACGGTGAAACCCCGTCTCTACTAAAAAATACAAAAACCTAGCCGGGCGAGGTGGCGGGCGTCTGTAGTCCCAGCTACTCGGGAGGCTGAGGCAGGAGAATGGCGTGAACCCGGGAGGCGGAGCTTGCAGTGAGCTGAGATCCCGCCACTGCACTCCAGTCTGGGCGACAAGAGCATCTCAAAAAAAAAAAAAAAAAAAAAAAAAAAAAAGGCCATTGGTAAAGATAATAAACATTTGGAATAATAAAGTAAACATCACTATGGCCTGCTTTACTAAATGTCATGACTATAGATTAAAGCTTGCTGCTGTGGCATTCAGCACATCTTTCAAAATATAATCCGGAAAGCTTATGGTATGGGATTTTATTTTTGTCCTCCAATTCCAAACGTCATACCAGTTCTGAAGAATTACTGATGGTACTGCCTTGGATTGCTCTTGTGTTTATTCTTCAAACAGGAGAAGAACCTATGGGATTACTCCTCAGCTTTCTAGTGTTTTCCCCCCATCCCCACCAGGTCACTCTCTCTTTCCCTGTAAATTCCACATTGTCCTTCTAGGGAGTTGCTGCTTTCAGATGCACACTGGTGAAACTGCCACTTGTGGTGCCTGTCTACCTTGAGACGGGTGCACGACTCCCAGTGTGACTAATTACCAGGCAATACTATCTACAACAGCAGGGATCGCTGCCAACACAAGAAAGTCAGCAGTTCTTGGCAACAGGAAATCTAAACTGGCTGGCAGTTTGGAACATACGTATCTAATGCTTTCTCAGGAACTAACTCGGGTTGGAGGGTTTCAAAACAGGCGTGGAATGGGAATAAAGAAAGGAAGATAATATACTGAGCTATCAGCTTTTAAGCTTTGACAATCTGGAGGGTTTTCTTCCTAACACGCTCAGCGTAGAAGCTAGGTTACCTCCCGAAGTGGCTGGTAGGGCTGGCCACTGGAGTTTGCTATGGCTGCAGGAGTCTCTCGCGGTGCAAAGTTTTTCTTGTTAGCACTTGTAAGGCTGGGAGGAGAGGCACAGGTGGAAGAGGAAGCAGCAGAGGCAGCACTTGGGCTACTCAAGGACACAGATGTAACTGAGCTACATCGGGATCTGGTTGAATAGCTGTTCTTTGGATGAGACACTGGAACAGAAATATGAGGAATATATGATCATATGATGGAACAGCACAATGGGTAAGGTTTCTACTTTCTCAATTTCACAATGAGCAATTTAAGATAAAGAACTGTCTCTTCAAGTAAAGAAAAACCTCTAAAACGGGTAACAGGAAGAAAAATCTCCCTTCTGCCCTCTTCCTCCACTTCCTCCAAAGCCCCACTGCTTTGTAAAGGAATTCTTAAACAAGAGAACAGTTTAACATCAAAGTTACCCATTCCCCACCAACTAATGACTTCTTGGGATTGGATCTGATACTACCTAAACTCCTGGCTATGGCTCTAGCAGCTGACTAAGCCTGGGAACAATAGTATAGACCATATGTTCAGTTTCCTATGCAAGAAACATTCTAAAGTACAGTCTTGGCAAAGAAAGAAAAAGGTACATACATAAAATCTTTACTAAATTTTTAAAAGAATTTTGAATGATACAAGGTATAAACAAGATCAGTTAAATATGAATAGAACTAATCTTTACAACAAACACGTATATTGCCAAATTTCTTTCTGCAAAATTAATCCCAAATTCAAAGTACCTATTTAACTGAACAAATATTAATATTTTCAGTTCAAATTGTGTTAGAATTCCAATGGTTTAAAACCACTCTCTAGATTTTTTTTCTTGGCTTTAAGCCTGGACTAACAATGAGTTTATAATTGTTGCCATAGGTTAAATATTTCACTTTTTTTTTTTTTTTTTGGAGACGGAGTCTCGCTCTGTCGCCCAGGCTGGAGTGCAGTGGCCGGATCTCGGCTCACTGCAAGCTCCGCCTCCTGAGTTCATGCCATTCTC